GCCAGATTTCCTCGCCCCTTCCTTTGGTTGCTGACCGAGAAGCTTCCCGCAGCCCACCGCATGCCTCATCTCCTGCGCGGGCCCGGCCGCCCCCGAGCTCTACCCCAAATAAAGCTGACATAGAGGGGCTTTCCTCGCACCTTTTTGCTATACTGCATGTTTTTAAACACAACCCTAAATCTTTTCTTTCTTGCAGTGATCAGCCACAGCAGGTGCTAATGCTTCACCGCTAGCTCCAGCCAAAGTCCCATCTTTGCAGCAAGGGGACGACCTGCCCTCCCTTCTTCTTCCAGCTGTTTAATAGTCTGATCTTCTCTCTGCACGGTTCCAAACACAGTTTTGTGGGGGGCAACTTTGTATAAAGTTTTTACTTCAAAATCTTACCAGAAATCCTGAAGTGTAAAAGTTGCTTGAACAATTTTTTTGTTTCCCCCTTGCTTCTGCTTCCTTGCTTGGGTTTTGCCTGGAGGTTTGGGGGGTTTGTTTTTTTTGTTGAGGCTTGGTTGGTTGGTTGGTTTTTTTTTTAGACCGAGAGTTTCCAAATGTGTTAACCAGCCTGTTGGAGCTTCCAGTACCAGTGAGATCAGACTTGAGCAACTTCTGTTTATAAAAACCTGCAGGCTTTCAGCCTGCAAGGCCTTGAATTTTTATATTCCTGGTGGGGAGACCTTACGGACGACAAATGGGAATGTTTACTGAATAAATAACCCACAGTAGAAAGATCTTTGAGTTTGGTTGTGGTATTTGGCTTTTTTTAACTCACCCCTCCCCCCCCCCAAGGGATGGTGTGTCACAGTTGTATCAGCAGGTTGGTGCTTTTCACAGCTCTCTAGAACTAGGTCTGTGTTCTACCTCTAGACATTAGTGCCTTAAATCCTGGGTGTTAGGCTATCACCAGGACCTGCTCTTCTCCCTCCACCCCTTAACCCAGTGGCTGCTCCATTCCTGCACTGTTGCTGGCAAGGCTTCGCTGTGGCTGAGCATAGCTTTCCTGTTTGATCCCCTAACCGTCCCTTTGAATTGTCCCATTAATCGATGGCTGTGGTATCAAATTCAATCTTTTTGTGATGTTTTCAGAGGTGTACCCCTGCTTTTGTCCCTCTCCTCTTTTACTCCCTTATCAAAGCCTGTGTTGTTTCTATCCTCCCTCTCCACCTTTGTTTTCAATGTGTATGTTCTTTGCTTTTCTTTAAACAACCTTGGCTTCCTTTCACCCCTATTCCTGTGCTGTTTGGGCCACTTCTAAAACGCTCCTTTCATGGCTAAGCAAGTGAACTTCAGTGTGCACTGCTCAAAAAATGCCAGTTTCTGTTCCTTCTCTAAACTGCAAGCCCTGTAAAATAGGGAGCATCCCTCAGTGGCTGGGAAGGCTGTTTTCTGCAGCTGCTTACTATTAAATATGTATATTTGTATACACTTGCTCATGCTGTCTCATAACAGGTCTGTAATTTACCAAACTATTTTGAGAAGAGTTTGGGTTTAATGTGATTATAACTGATCTACATTTATTTTTTTAAAAACTCTCTTGCTTCTCTTTCCATCAATAGACAACAAAGTTTACCAGTGCTTTAGATATACCTGTGGAGTTTGTTAAAAAGAACGTGAAATTGAGGGGAAAATTCCATCGCATAACTGAGACAGGCCTGGAAGTTGAACACGTTCCCATCAGCATTCCATTCCTTACAGCAATACAGAGAAAGTGTAAGTGGAAGCAGGTGAAGAGCAGGTAGGAAGGAATCTTGTTGTTAACGCAGCTACACAGAGAAGAGGAGGGGCAAGCTTGGGAGGAAGGGTGGAGGTACAGTTCTGGTTCTGCCCTTTGGTCCTTCCATACTTCATAGGTGGGAAACTGAGGAATGTCTTTAGAGATCTGCTCTCTCTGTGGGGAGGCATTTGAAAAGAGATGACCAATACACTATACTACCTCACAGTGATATTTCTCTGACTAGTGCATGGGCAGCTCCTCAGCGTGCACGACTCATCGCCTGCCTGGCAGAAGGACTCTGCTGGGATTACGCTTTTATTTATGGGTAAAGATTTGTATACACAGACTCATCCTCACAGACAGGTTTTCTGTGACTTCTTCACCGAGCTGCCCGTCAGGTCTGTGAGTCACGTTCCTGCTTTGCAAATAAATACCTGCAGGCGCGGCTTCTTCTTGCCTATTGTTTGTGCCTATTGTTTATTATTTTTCAGATAAAATGATATGACAGATAATGAAAACAGTTCTATTTCTGTGTAAAATAAACCAAACTCCCTTAAACCACTTAGGCAACCTCAAATTAGATTTTATTTTACTGAAGGAGAGATGAGACCAAATTTGTATTTGTGAATAAATAGTGCTTTGGGGGAACGTTTCTTTTTTAAGTCCAGGGGAATAAATTCATTGCCGGCAGTTGAGGCACTGTGCGAAGAATGAAATGTCCTTCGTGGCAGTCGGTCACAAAGTTCTGTCTTTCCATAAGCAGGGCAATCAAAAGGTCTTCTGCTGGTGAGACTTGCTGGAGTGGAGCTGGCTCCGAGCGGCAGGGCCTGGCTACAGCAGGAGCTGAAACCCAAACAGATGCTGTGGTTCCAGCTTCTCGGGAGGGAGGACTTGGCACTCGAGTGCCTTGTGCTCGTCAATAAGGTAAAGACAGTGACAAGAAATTTACTTTTACCTGCAGTTTTGGGTTTGGCTGTGGTTGTGCAGTTCGGTTATCTCAGTCCATTTAAGGAATGCTCTTATTTAAGATTTATCTATCCCAATATGAATTTTAAATGTTGCATTTGTAAATCTGATTTCAGGAGCGGTATTTTTGCAGACTGATTGATGACACAAGTATGTTTCTCTGTCAGGTAGTTCTGAGCTGTATCCTGTAGTTCTGCTCTCCCTGATGTTCCATCCAAACCAGATTTGATGTCACTCCATCAAATGTTCTCTCACAAACATTTTGCATTAGTGTATTAGCTTTTAATAGTCAGATGGTTTCTTCTTAGCTTTCAGCTCTCTCTGCCAGAGTGTTGATTTATCCAGAAGTAAATCTTGTATCTCAGGGGGATTTTGCACCAAAGAATAAATAAACCCGTTTTAAAGCTGAGGTGAATAATTGTATTTCTTGTGCCTTTCTGCAGGGTAGATTTCTCAGCATGTGCTTAAACGAGGAGGTCTTGAGACAAGGGCTGGGCAGAGCGGCACGGGTGGAAGGACTGCAGCACGATTCCCGCCTCTACTGGAAGCTTCACAGAAGACTCCTTCGAGCAGAGCTAAAGGCCTTGAAGAACCGGAAAGGAATATGGAAAGAGGAAAGCTACTCTGAAGGAACTAGAGATCGTATAAGCAACAATAGATTTGTACAGACCTTGAAACAATTTGTGAGCTGGTTTAGAAGCTCTGTTTGAAGGTGGAGAGCTGGAGCAGTGCCAGTTACCTGTGTTAGGTCCTGTATGGAAAGTAGGAGTTTGTGATAAAAACCAGTGCCATGGACTTGAGGGTCCCTGTCTCGAACAGGAAACCCACAGAATTTCCTAATGCCGTATTATAACCCATGGGTGACTGAATTTTAGCAGTAATATGCAAGCCACAAATGAAAGTCTTCTGAAGCTAGATTTTTCCCCAATGGTGTCCTAAATTAGTTGTGCTATTGTCCACAACTCCCAAATACCTACCCAGCTGGTGAAAGCAGTGGAGCATTGGGTTTTTGAGAGGTGCAGGATGTTGGTTTACAGTGTACAGCCCAAAATGCTGCTCTGCTGCAGGTCCTGACTACATTGGTTAGAAAACTCTACTTCAGACCTTTACAGAGCTTATGGTGTGCCATTTACACAGAAGCATTTTGTTTGAATTCTGTTCTTGTACTACTTATGTGTGTAATTTCTGTTTTAAAAAATCTCTTGTCTTGAATAACGGGTTGCATTGTTACCAATATAAAAGGTAATTTGTTATGGCTGGTCTTAAAGAGCTGATAAGGTCACAACAAAGTTTCCCAGAAAAAAAAAATCACTTGGTATAGCAAAGAACATAAATTAATGTCAGTAATCCAAGTTTTTAGACAACAGTGTTCAACTGAAGAGGAAAAACTTAAGCTGTTTTTTCTGATGATTCCATAAATATCTAAAGTGAGAGGAAAGTAAACCTTTAATGTGAAATTTGGAAAGGTGGAACATGCTGTGCCAAGAATGTAAATTCTTGTTCTTGCTTTATTTTTGAAATGTGTTATGTATATGAGTGTTTTATTTATTTTGTAAATATTTTCAAAAAATGTTGAATTTCTTATGCTCATAGTTACATGTTTTATATACCAAACACTTGACCTTTGTTTAACCTCCCACAGCCCCAATATTTATTTAAAGTGAAGTGTTTCACAGATTTTCTTTCTTCCTGTCCGATTCCTTGCCAATCAAATCCTGGGGAGAAGAGTGTGGTACAAAAATGACGCTAGAGTTGAGCATCACTTGTCTGACAATTAGTTGCTGTGTCATTTCCTCTGCTGACTTTGGGGCAAAATTGTGAATCCTCAAATCCTAAAAGGAGAAAAAAAAAAACAAAACAGCTTTTCTTTGGGTAAAAATAGATGGCAGTGCTTCTTTACTACTTCCGTAGCTCAAAGTTGCCTTTTAGCCCCCAAATACAGACTCAGTCTCAGCAATAATCCACTTCTCAAGGGGTTTTATAGATGTTCCTGTTCCTACCTCTGGTAAGTAGAAAGACCTTTTCCAAACTGAATATAAGTGTATGGTTACGATGAGGATATTTTTTTCTGTAATAATTAAATATAATTCTACCTGGACTTTGCACTTCTATTTTGTAAATGATTAATAGGAAGATGTATCACAAAACTCCACTGTAAAGCTTTGAGAAAAATCTCAGGAAACTGCATTTTTAGAAAGCAGAGGTGAACTGTGGGCAAATATTGAAACAAGTTTCTTCCCTCACAGTTTTGCTTCTCAGCCCAGTTTACCCTTGATGAAATTCAGGAAAAACCCAAGAGTTTTTTCTAAATTACAGCAAATCCCTGTAACCTTTCTGTCAGGTTCTATCTTATGAAGAATATTTAAAAGACAATACAGCTGTTTTATCATGTATGTCAAGGAAGTTCCCCCCTTGGCCTGAGCAAAATTTTTCAAGTTCCTTTCCCTGTATTGGTGACAGTAAGATGGGTCTAACAGAAACAATTTCAGAAGGAACTGTGGAGAGGGACATCGAAAACTTTGAATGCAGTACTCTCATCTCTTTTCATAGTTCTTTGTCCAAATACAAACCTTAGGAAGCAGCTTTGTGTATGGGATCTGTAAGGGACAACACTCATCTCACAGCCAGTCACCCTGTGGTGTGGGATTTGAGATTGCAGCGGCAACTCCTGTAATTGTTTGTTAATGCCGTTTTCGTTATCATCCAGGTCTTATCTGTTAAAAAAAAAACCAAACCAAAACAAAAGAACAGCACACCCTCCCCCCTTAAAAAAAAGCACAACTCGGTTCAAAGCTGCGCTTCCCATCTGTGCAAGGCTTGAGAGGTTGCAGATCTTGTCTCTGTGGGAGGCCTGTCTATTGAGAAACTGGTAACAGGAGTAGAAACAAACAGCTCTGCAGAACCCATCTGAGGAACCGGCTGGGAAGTCAGGGGAGAAAAAGCGCTTGGCTCCGTCGTATAAAACCATGCCACACGGGCTCTGAGCAGTGAGGAATGAGTGAGGAGCATGTTCCCATTCCTTTAGCTACAGCAGCAGTGCCGGCAAGAGTATTTCCAAGCAGAGGATGCAGTTCTTGTGCGATTAGGAATAAGGACAAGAATTAAACTCTTTAGCTCTTGTGCCTTTGCCCCTGCAACTCTGAATATGCTGTGAGCAGCAAAACGTCTTAAAAAAATCTCAGGGAGTGAAACGACAGACCTCCAAATGGCCCACTAACAAAAATACCTTGATCATTGCACAGGTTTTTTATTGCTGGTGAGGCATGGAAGGCAAATGGTTGTCATAAACACCAGCAGCCTTCCTCGGAGTCTCCTTCCCCAGGCCAAACTGCCTCGCTTGTTCCAGTGTCCTGCTCTTTCCCCAGCCTGTCAGGGCTCACACCTGCTGCTCCTCACCCACCCAGGGACCATAAGACATAAAATGTGATAATTCTGAAAGTGGATTTTTAGTCTTAACCTCCTCCACAGAGGTGCATTCCGACAGGCCAGGAAGAAGCCCAGAGCTTTCTGTGGCTGCCGGTGAACGGTGTGTGAGGGAACGCAGAGTCGGCGAACGCAGGTGACCCGCCGCTGAAGTTCACACAGACTTTTAAAGCAAAAAAACCCCAGTCAGCCAGACTCGGTGCCTTCCCTCGGGCCTGCCCGGGGGACGCTCCGCTCCCTGAGCGCTCTCTCCGGCTCCCGGGGCGGAGCGGGCGGGCAGTGAGGTGCCGCCCGCCTCGCCCC